ATTTTGGAACTCCAGTTTCCATCAGCCCCCAGCACCATGGTGAATGATAAGGCATGGTGTGGAACTGCCATTCAAAACTTACTCAGAGGCATCCATGATGTGTGTGCATGCGTGTGTGTGTGTGTGTGTGTGTGTTAAAATGTCAAGATGGCAGCCATGACTGTGCTATTGATTATTAGAACTTTTCAACTCCAGAGTACTTAAAATATATCCAACCCATGATATCTAATTAACTGCACCAACATTTTAGAAAAATATCAATTTAACCTCATATAAAGAGTGGAACAATAAAACTGGGCAAATAATACACTTAGTGAAAATCAGTGAGACAGGTTTAGAGCATGTAGGCAGGAAAACGGAAGATTCTGCAATCAAGGGAATCCATGTCTGAAATACCAAAAAGTAAGTGATAATGTGGAAATTACCTATCTTTGTCTGAAGACTGACGACTTCAGAGCCTCCAGGGAATCCATTGTTTTAGTAATTAAGTGTTCTTTCAGTTGGAGATACTTTTTTCCCAGAGTTAGGCAATAAAATGAATAGGGTGGAGTGACGACTTTATGAAGTAATGTCTTTTGTCTGGCGTGGCGTCTAAATTTAAATAGAAAGATGTACGTTGAGAAATACAGCAGAGTTAATTTAAGGAAATAAAGATCACAGAGGAGACAGAAATTAGCCCCTCTCTAATCCTTTTTCCTCTCCAGTATCCTGATACTGGAGGTACCTTATTTATAGCAGCTCAGAAACTCAGAGTGGTGCTGGGGCATCCACAGGGGGATTAAAAAAGCCAAGATGGTGACCCTAACTACTATGTGATTAAAGCTCTCCCCCCTTTTAAATGTGTGTTGTGGTGGTTGTGCTTGCCATCTTGACTTTTTAAATCCCTTTTGGGGACTTTTATGTATGCTTATCTTTTCTAACATAATTTACTCTTGGATATTTTTTCTATAGCATTTACATTGGATCTTGAAACTGAAAATATCTGTAGAACTACATCTACTTTAATAATCTATCTGGAAATTCTTCTGTGCAGAACAGAATCACTCTTATTCTGAAATAAGCAGACTTGTTTTACTAACTGTAAAGCAAGCAGCTTAATGAAACACTGGATCTCCTCTCCAACCACTATGAATTCTAGCCATCAGGTTCTCTCTGGTTTCTGAAATTTCATCAGAGGTTGGCTGCCCAGAATTTTTCAAGTACACTGATGCAGACTTGTTCTGGCTGCAGTCAAACGAAAGCTTTGGCGTACATGAATAATAGGGTAATACAAATGGTAGGAATATAATTGTGAAAAAATATCTGTGCAGTCTACATTATATGGTACGGAGGGACACAATTTCAGATGTGCAGGGAAAATAGGTGTGTGCATAAATGGACATGTATATGCCTATCTGGGGAATTCTGGGAGTTGAAGTCCACACATCTTAAAGTTGCCAAGGTTGAGAAACACTGCTCTAATCAATGAAGCATGCTGGGTTATGACCACAGCAAGAACTGTTGGGAGAAGCAGGAAAACAGTACTTTAAAGCTGAAATGACTAAAGAGAATAAAGATCACAGAGGAGACAGAAATTAGCCCCTCTCTAATCCTTTTTCCTCTCCAGTATCCTGATATTGGAGGTACCTTATTTATAGCAGCTCAGAAACTCAGAGTGGTGCTAGGGCATCCACAGAGGGATTAAAAAAGCCAAGATGGTGACCCTAACTACTATGTGATTAAAGCTTCATCAGGTTTGGACTGCAGATGAGATGGAGACAACATCGTGAGGGCAGGGCATAAAAATGGTTAAAGGACTAAGTTCATGCCACAGTTAAGGGACATGAGAATGAGCTCCTTATCTTGTCAGCTACTGAGGCAGGAAAGATGTCTGATTTACAGCTGGATGTCTCTATAGCCTAATTGTAGCTAGTTTGACTTGCTTTTTTTTTTTAATTGCATATTGGAATAACAGCATTTTTGGTGATTTTGGGGGCCAGCTATATGAGATACCAGAAATGTTGGGGAAGGGTCTCTTTCTTAGAGTTGGAGTCTTCAATGGGGTATTCAGAACTCCAGTTTGCTGTGGACACTTCTCTTGGCACACATCAAACTCCTTGCCCCACCTGGCATTTTAGAAATTACAACATATTTTTATATTGTCAAGTACAAAAAGGTGGATATTTTTAATAAATGCAAAGCAAAGAACCAACTTCCAACATCATCTTCATTTCCAAGAATCCTCTGAAACCCAAATAGGCCTCATGAAAACAAACATGATGGGGGCTGCCTCCAACTGCTTTGTTGGACATGTACCTGTGGTCTAGACCAGGGTTTCTCAACCTTAGCAACTTTAAGATGGGTGGACTTCAACTCCCAGAATTCCCTAGCCAGCATGGGAGGCTGTCTGGGGAATTCTGGGAGTTGAAGTCCACCCATCTTAAAGTTGCTAAGATTGAGAAACCCTGGTCTAGAAATTAGACAAGGGACAGCACAGAATATTCTGCAGTGATGGAGGGGCCAGAGGGAACTCAAGTAACCATCCTGGTAAGTTTTCAAGTAGGTATATATTCTGCCTGGAAGCCATTTTGTGAGTTGGCAAGACATTTTGGGAGGGTATGCACAATGCTCACAAAATCCAAGGGTCCCCATGAGTCTCCCAACTTTGGCCTGGAATCGCCCCTGTATATATCTCACACAGGTTGAATTCTGTTGTGTCAGAAATTGTGAATCAGTCAGAAAGACAATTAATGCTGAAGAATGAAGACACGGCGATTGAAACACGATGGAAGATGTCTGCTAGCCCTCCCTCCTTCCAAATGGATCGCCCAAGTTTTCCTTGAGGAAGTTGCTAAGGCCCCATAAATTTGGCAGTTTTTCTCTTCCCTGGAAGGCTTCTCCCCTGCTAAGTAGTAATCTCTTGATTCAAACGGGAACAGGAAATGAAAGTTGGCCACACAGGGTGCTTCTCTTGAAGATGCCAAACTGCTGAGTCTGCCTGGAACACAACAGCTTCATGTGAAAAATAAAAACATTATTAAAATGGCCTTTGCGCTCCCCCATCTATTTTCTGCAGCTGGCCATGAAAAAGCTTTTGTTCAGCTCTTGGAAGCATCCTATGTGTGTTCCAGTTTTTAGAGCAAGGACAGCATTGCAAAGCATTTCAGACATCTACAGAAGTCAGCAGTTTCTCCAGTAAAATGAAGGGCCAGGTAATAAAGAGCCCCACATAGCACATTTGACTTGGTCTATACTTGGCAGCTTAATAAAGAAGAGAAGTGAATGCAAGTTGTAAATTCAGTACTGAAAGTTCTGTTCCTGATTTTTGCTTTGCATTAGCATATTTATTTTATTTATTAAATTTTTCAACTGCCCATCCGCCCAATGGGGGAACTCTGGGCGATTCACAATAAACATTAGAACATAAATATATAAACACATAAAACCATAAATTAAAACATCATCCGCCCAATGGGGGAACTCTGGGCGATTCACAATAAACATTAGAACATAAATATATAAACACATAAAACCATAAATTAAAACATCATCCGCCCAATGGGGGAACTCTGGGCGATTCACAATAAACATTAGAACATAAATATATAAACACATAAAACCATAAATTAAAATATATTCATGCATGCAGATCAACATTTGATCCTGCTGTAATCAAATGATCATTCAACCTGCTTGCATGAAACAGTCTAAAGGGGGCTTCAACATGTGGATTATATTTTGACTCAATTGTGTAATGCAAATACACAAGGACAAGGGATAGATGTCCTGGTAGAGAACATATCAGAGAGAGAATTTAAATGGGCTCTGCCCCATTTTCCAATTCAGTCTTCTTGTAGTATTTAAGATACTCTACAGCTAATCAACAGACCTGAATAATAAATATATAACTAGGTAGCACGAAATGCTTATAAGAGGGTCCATCAAATGACTAGAGCTGTCATCAGAATCTAACAGTTACAGGCACATACATTGGTCCCCTTAGAACAGTGTTCCTCAACGTTGGCAGCTTGAAGATGTGTGGACTTCAACTCTCAGAATTCTGAGAGTTGAAGTCCACACATCAAGCTGCCAACATTGAGGAACACTGCCTTAGAAAACAAAGTCTCAGTGCCTCATATCCCAAGCAGCATAGACATCTGTTTCAAGCTATGATGATACCAACATGAGCTTTTATTTAAAACCCTCACAAAGCAATTGGGGAAATAAAAATTGCAACAATTTGCTAGGGTGCCATATTGGGAGATTGTAGAAGATCAATATGGTGGTTAGATTCAGCTGCTACTTAGACAGCTCAGTGTTTGGCTGTTGCTGATCATTCCCAGTTACGTTTGTCAGAGTGGTTAATGAAGGAAGGGTCTAGTAGATGAACTTTACCCAGATCCACCTCAAGCCTGCAACCTATGAATCCAGAAATTCCTCAACTTGATAGTGCTGTGATTAATTAACTTGTGCAGCCCCTATGAATAAAAGTAACGACTACAGTGGGGTATACATTTGACAAACAACTAAAAATAATACAATCTTGCAACTTTAGAAAACAAAACCTTTTACTGGAAATAGCAACGCCATCAAATTCAGAGCCATATTTTTAATAGAAGGACGAGCTTGCTTAGTTTTGCATAATTCCTTGAAAACTGGGTTTTATTTTAGTGACATTGACCCCCATTTATTCTGGATGGCTATTTGCTTTTCTGAGTTGCTGCCAGCTCGTCTAATCAAAGCAAAATCTGCCAGCAATCCAGCCTTGGGTATATACACCTTGAGGTGTGAGTACAATTTGCTAGCCCGATACCACCTTGTGGCTCTACCTTAGGTCCAAGATCCATAGCTGAGTCACTTCAGATGGCAAACAAGTCCTTTTATTCACCAGAAGACAGCCAAGCACACACAACAACCAGAGTGCATGCAAAAGCAGAAAGCCCCCCCAACAGGGACGCAGCCAATATATATAACATAAATTAGGATTATTAAGGGCAGTTATCTAACAAGCATCTGGTGATTAACATATCTCCTTAAAGACATAATGCTCTTATGCCACATTTACCCTTTTGGGAAGTACTTCAATAGGGCTAATTAACTTTTTAAAAATTAAGCGATTATATGTGTGTGGGTATATACATTACCCATTTCATAATCCTGAAACCTCAACAGGCAGCTTCCCCAGTCACTGTGCTTTGTGTCTATGCAGGGACTAGATGAGTTGTTTGCACTCAGAGTAAATGTTCTGCATGTGGTGTACTTTGGTTCAAGTCCTCTTTGCCTCTCCCAAAGTTAGCACAAAAGGCAATGGCCTCTGTAGTCTGAGTCTTGCCACTGTAGGGCCATCTGTCCAAAGACATCTTCAGTTCCTCCAGGATCTCCTACCCTGTCAAGCCTCTACCACTTCAGATCAAGGCTCATTGTCCTTTTGGAGTCTAATTGTGAGAGAGAATTTGTTGCAGTCCTCCTTTTGGCAAAGTTGCAACCAAACTAGAAATGAATGTCATCCCTTTGGAATCCCAGGAACCAAACCAGTTGTAGTTGTGGAGAGAGTAGTTCTCAACAACCTTCCCATTAACAGCTGTGACGGAGCAAACATATACTGTCACTTG